TCAAGGGTCCATTTTGGAACGAAAACAAACAAAACTCCTCTGGACCAAATTCTAAAAAAACGTTTCGAAATTTACTTTTTCTATTCCTATTTTTCGTGCAATCGCTAGAGGACAAAGGTCATGGAAATGAGCGATTGCCAAGTCGAACTTCTCGTTCCGAAACCTTTCGAAGACCTGCAAGATGCCAAAAAAGTTCCGATAATGAATAGGTACAGACAACTAAAAACTATTCCTCCTTCCCTACATCTATAATGGAAAAAGGTTTTCCCGAAGGTGGTCATCAGGTCCGAAATGCTTTCACGCAGCCAGTTTTCAACTTCCAGTAGAACTGTAGCAGTTTTAATTGGTATTTGGTCTACAGAGTGGCATACAAGGTCAGTCGATGTACAGGTTCAGCGGACCCGATCGCATTTTCCCGATTCCAGAAAGACATATAAAGCCTAATTGCTTTGGGCTCGAATCGATCCGAAATTTGATCTCCGAATCGATACGGCCATAGCAGCGACTCTTCTTAGCACTGCTCCACATAGTATATGCCGTTTAAGCAATAAAGGCCATTGCGTCTTGGTAATGATCGACCCCGCTTTGGGATGCGCCTAGCACTTGCTTCTATTAAATTATCTTATCTCAGGAGCGTTTGGATATGTATGTGGACTATACGATGACTTGCGAGTGGCCACCAAATGTACAAGACAGTGCTTTTATCTTCTCAAATAAGTCTGGTACCTATCAACCGATCCTGGTGGGATGGAAACATTGGTTGGATCTGGTGGGCATCACATTACTACAGTATGACTTTGATATTTATCGAATGATCATGTAATCAGTGCAAGGACGCCTTTTGTTAGTTACCCTACCTTTGGATCATGTTCAAGCATTTGTGCACAAGCCTCTACACGCATGTCTTTGAATTCTTGTCCTGTCCACCAGAGATCATAAGCGTCACCAGCCGAGAACATCAGTGATTGGAATACCTGAACTAAGGCTTAGATCTCGACATCGGTACCTATGCTTGGGAATGTCCTCTTGGAAAAATCTACCGCCTAGAAAATGCTTCTAAAAGATTAAGTGCTTGAAATTATTTTAAGAGAAACAAAGAAATGAACAGTACTGAATGAGGCTAAAATTGAATGGTTCTTGGGGTACTGAAGCAAAAACATCTCAGGACCAGTGCAACCACCTTCTAAATTCAATGCAGTTTTGCTTTCACATAAGTAGTATTTAGAAATACCGATAAATGTATTCAGAAATATACGTAAATAAAATACAACAACTAAATGAATTTTGATTAAAAAATTATTTTAAAAATTTAGAGAACTAAAAATTCAACTTCAGAAAAAAGGAATAGAAAAAAGAACCATCTACATCATTGTTCTGCTGAATGCTATTTTTCTCCACAAATTGAAATGCTAAAGAAGAGTAACGGAGTTTGGCAGAGCGCTAGATCTCAAATAAGACTTGAATGAAAAGCAGTGGTGTAAATAGAGGTCAGTTATCTAGGACTCTGTTCCTTAGCAGATTTTCTACCCAGTCAGGAAGGTGCTTGCACTCACACTTCATCTAAGCTCAAAACTCTGCGAACCCACATTTCTGTGACCTCTGCTTATGTTAACAGTAATCGACCGAATTCTAGGAAAGTTCTAATCCCCTTAAAGTATCTCACCTTCAGACCTTCAGTCTTTAGCTTGTCCTTAAACTCTACGGGAATTCTGTACTCGGTCACACCAGAAGGCAATCGATTATTTCCTGTGTCCAGCATTGCCATTTCCATTTGTGTCCACATGTGCACATCATGGCCAAGAAATCTGATCAATATATATTTAAACCATTAGCTGTAAACCCTCTGAGTATATGCTGGATATGCTTTTTCTACGCGTTTTTTTTTTGCTGTTCTTTCACGAGCAGGATGCTTTTAAAAAGCATCATAGACATTTTGATCCGTGATCGAAGATCATTCAGACTAAATCGAAACCCTACCAAGTGGAATATGGAAAAGGTCGAGTAAATAACGAACTTCAATGTTTCAGCTAG